GGTAAGACTTCTCCACCGTGTGCTGGCAGATCATCTTGGGCAGGAATGAAGGTGGCCAATTCTCCATCAATAAGGCATGGAGGAAAACTTAGAATAAAGCCTCAAGTGGAACTGCTAATACTGTAAAGACATAGTACCTAGCAAGATATTGGGAAGCTATGTTCTGTAGTGTATTTCAGAATACAACTCAAGAACAGGACATGAAAATCCTTTTTCCATTGACACTGTAAGATCCTGATTCATTTTCTGTGGTTACTCAAGCATTTTTTTAAATTGTTAAGTATCTGACACATATTAAGAGACTCTATAGGCCAGGCATGGTGGCTCACGCCTGTAATCCTAGCACTCTGGGAGGCCGAGGCGGGTGGATTGTTTGAGCTCAGGAGTTCGAGACCAGCCTGAGCAAGAGCGAGACCCCGTCTCTACTAAAAATAGAAAGAAATTAATTGGACAACTAAAACTATACAGAAAAAATTAGCCGGGCATGGTGGCACATGCCTGTAGTCCTGGCTACTCGGGAGGCTGAGGCAGTAGGATCGCTTGAGCCCAGGAGTTTGAGGTTGCTGTGAGCTAGGTTGACGCCACAGCACTCTAGCCCCAGCAAAAGAGTGAGATTCTATCTCAAAAAAAAAGAGACTCTATACGTATGCATGCACATATATATATATATGCACTATACGCACATATATAGCATATACAATATGGAAAAAACCTACCATGAATCTACTACTCGATAAAAATTGGAGAAAATATTAAACTTTTCATAAATTTATGTAATATTCTTACACAAGGGCCATGCCAATACAGAGAAGAGACAATCAGATCACTTTTCATAAGATCTCTCCATTTTCTTACTGAATTCTGTAATCTGCCCTATTAAAACACCTTTCTAAATTTTTTGCTCTTTTAAAAATGCAGTAATAATTTTTAATTTCCAGTACTAGATTCATGGGTAGCCTATCAAATGCTACTAGATTTTACCCCACAAGAGTTTTCTAGATGTATATATACCCCAAAATGACATTAAGACCTTTTTATATAAACTCACTATAGAAATATATACCAAAACAAGGAATACAAACGATACTTGCCTCCTTTCCAAACCAATAGTTCTTTTATCCAAAAACATCAGATGCTACCAAAACACATTTTTTAACTACAAAGTTACATAGAGTGTGAACACTTTATACTCATCCCTAAGAATAAGTAAAGACAAAAACTCTTTGCAATTAACTAATGAAATTTCAACTTCTAGGAATATGCTTTCCTCCTTGTCCTTTTGAGAGCCCCCATCATACAATTCATAGATTGAAATGGATTAGAATCTCTTCAAAGACAGAGGCCATATATTATTCATCCACTATTCATCATTGTGTCCCCTGCATAGGATTAACTCAGTGTTTGTTACAACTAAGCTAAACTCCAAGAAATGAAGTTTAAACTACCTCAGTCCCAATGCAAAACTGGAAGATGAGTCTACTTCTCAAGAGTTTGAGAATAAAAAGATACTAAAAAAAAATAAAGCCACAGATACTTGTGTTACATTATGTTCCTTTATCACCTAACTCAGAAGTGTGTACTAACTGCAGAAATAAGTTTGGGAAGAATAAAAAGAATAAATAAAAAAACCTGGATCCTAAAGTTCTCCTGTCAACATGCTCAAATACTATCATAGAATCTTCCACCTTAAGCTCATACCAACATCTCCACATCCTAAATAAAACTTAAAAAAAAAAAGACTTTCAAATGAGACCTAATAAAAATTGATTCTATTTCATTACAGTTTAAGTTCCTGAAATTGTATGCATAAATCACTTGATTGTGCTTATGTTCATTTTCTAACGTGAAAGCCCAGTGTCTTTCATCAGATTCTCAGAAGGATAAGTGACCTCCAAAAAACTTTAAGAACCATTAATCTAGCATATCAAGAAACATTACACTTTCCAGAGGAATACAGTTGTCTTAGTTCATGCATTCTTCTTTCATATTCATAAGAGGGGATCTTTACTATAAAATTAGTCTTTCGAAGAATTCCTTCAGCCCAGCCAAGAAGTTCCAATATCCACAAATACATATATCAACAAATCCCATATCCCAAAAACAGTTTACTCATAAATGTACCCCCCTAAAAAAGGGCAAAGAATGCACAATCTATCATAAACCAGCCACTCTGTTAGATTCTTAAATACTCTTGCATCCTTCCATATTAAACTCTCTGGAAGACCTAAATTTCCTCCAAACTGTAAAGACTTTTAGTGAAGGTTTTCTGGTTTTAATTCCACACTGACTTATCTGCCTCACTCAACTTAATACACACTACGGTTAAGACAATTCCCCTCATATATACCCAGGATATTTACAGGAACACTCTGATTATTCTCACTCCAAGGCACGGACCATTTATTGAACAGGCAGTCAATAAATATTTGTTGAACGAATGAAAAAGGATCCTTCCTCCAATAGATGTAAAGTTAAGCCATCAGCACCCATGCAGCTGCTCTGGTACAAGTTAAGCTGTGAAAGCACTCCCTCCCTCTCAAACATAACAAGCTAAAGTGTCAGAAACGCTCTGCTTCCTCCACAAACACAAGATAATATAGTTATGGATATCCACTTTACAGGTCGCACTGGCCAAAGACAACATGCGTTCCATGTACATATCTCTCACAGTTGGTCTCTTCCAAATAGAATCCAACCAGTAATATGTGCCCCCTATCTTTCTGATATGCTCTGATTTGCCAACAAACACCTCCCGAGATGCCACGGTACGGTCAATATACTACTGTATTGGTAGTCAAAATATTTGTTATAGTCTCAACTTTGTCAGTAATTTAACTTGTGACCTTGGAAAAGTTATCTTTTTATGCCTCAGTTTCCTATTTTGTAAAATGTGAGAAAACATCCTACCATTTTCAGAGATTTAAGAGCACAAAGAAACTGAAAGAGCATTTTTATTACAAAGTGTATATAAACCCGTGTCAACGAAAAAGACCACCCATTCTTTAAAGCCTTGTAGCAATTACTGTTAGAGATGTTCAGGGCCTTCACATTTACACAATTCACTCTATTCAAAGGCACAAATTATTCTTAAGACCACAACTGGCTACGTACGCCAAGTTTCTCCCCTCCTTGATCCCACACACAAATGTTATATAGAATACGACCATTACTGTTCTTTCCCAACAAGTAACTAGATGCCCCCAATCCCTAAAATACACACACGTATAACCTGCAGGGAACATCCCAACACTTATTTAAAAAATAAGCTAACTTACAAGGGGAACTCCGTTACACTTATACAAATACAAGCAAACTCTTCCGGAACACTTTCCATCCTTGCATACACACACAAACACAGCCGCTACACACCAACAGACCATCTGTCTCCTAAACCAAAAACATGTCTTTCCATGTACAAACTAACCAGTTACATTTATTAAACTTGTAACACTGAAATCACTCTGTTGTTCCTACCTACAGCTCAAGGTGTCAGGGACACCACAGACCTTGTCACACAGGTAAACTACCCTCTGATCTTTCCCTTACCACTCCTACCCCCTAAAGAGACACAAACCGGACCATGGGGGAGGCTCCGATCATGCCTATATACACAAACTAATCTGTCAGGGGCACAGCCGACTCCGCCTCCACTCGCTCACTTTCCAGCCCCCTCCCCCAAGCCAGGAGTCCGCTTGTCAGGGACACCCCTTCACCCCCGCCTGGAGGGACTTCCCGGTAAGCTTAGGATCCCCTTCCCTACTCTCCCCTCCCCCATCTTACCACCGCTCCCCCGAAGGTCCAGGTCCGGGAGATGACAGTAGCTCCCAGGAAGCCAAGGACTGAATCGCTGAGAGAGTACTTAGGCCTAAAGGCCTGCCCAAACCGTTCTACTCACCGTGTCAGAGGCCGAGGCAGAGAGCGATGAGAGTGCAGGGAAGTAGGGAAGAGGGGGTGGCCGCCAGGCTCCTCCGCTTCCCTTGGTCCACGGCGGATCCCTCCCGCTTGTCAGGAGGCGGCCAGCGGGTAAGCGGACTGGCGGAAATGCGAGAGAGGAGAAGGGAAAGGTGTAGGGCTAAAGGGGGAAACTGAGGGGAGGCGGGTCCCGCAACCGAGACGGGGATCGTCTCCCCCTCCGCAAAGCGAACCCAAAATGGCGGCGGGAGCAGCGGCAGCGGCGGCGGCGGCGGCGGCAGCTCCTCGGGAGGGAGGGAGCGAAGGGCGCCTCGTGCCCCCCCACCTCCCACTCCTCCCTCTTCGCGTACTCCCCCACTGTCCCCCACACACACCCGACTCTGGCCGCGGAGCGCGCACGCCCGTCCCCACGCGTATGAGTGTTTCTGGGCTCGTCGCTCGCTGCTCCCACCAACCGCCACCTTCGGCCGCCCAGCTCCCGCGCGCCAGCCAGCCCGTACGCTCTCGCTCGGGGGCACCTCCTCGCGCGGTCCCCACTCCCCCCTCAGCCCCTGTCAAGCCGGCTCGGGCACAGGCCCTCACGCGTACCTTCAGCGGCGCGAGCCCGAGCCGCCTCCTCCTCCACCTCCTCTTCTTTCCTCCCCCCGTTCCCCGCCCCCACGGCCACCAACCGCCGCCACGGCCGCCGCCGCCGCCGCCTCCTCCACCTCCTCCTCCACCAGCCCCCCCCAACCCTCCACCTCCTCGCGCGTGCGCCTCCCACAATCCCCCCCGCGAGACTGTTCCATTCCCTTCGGCTGCAGGGGCGGGGGAGAAAAGGACAGGCAAAAGCGGATAGAGCTTGCTGTTATGACTGTAATTACCAGAGTAAAGAGCAGAGACCTAGGACAACCTATCTCCCTAGGCTCCTCGCCGCGGCGCTGAGGCTAGTCTCCCTCCTCGTCCTCCTCTAGGCCGCGGCCAACAAGTCTGCCTCGCGCCCCTCTCATGGCCGGTGGTTGGAGGCCGCGGCGGCTGCGCGTTGAGTTCTTCCTGCCGTACCACCCGAGCTTTCTTCGCAGTTGTGGAACGGGCGCCTTGAAGTCTTCCTCTGTCGGTGTCTGCCGGTCTTCACGTCAGGAGAACTAGTCTGCGACTCACGGTGAGGAAATGGACCTGCACGGGGGTTGGACCTATAGGGGAAAGGAGTGGTTCTCCGAGCCTCCATGAGGTAGGGAGTGAGGCCAGCAGGACTGGCGCCCTGGGGGCTTCCTCCCGGGCTCTCAGTTGTCAGCCTGGGTCCCACGGAAGAACCAGAGTGGTGGTCTGCTTCTTGTTGTTAGCCCAGCTCAGATTTCTTGAATTTCGTACGAAACAATATTTTTTTGCCCTTTACACACTTTTCAGGGATGGTAGATGTATCTTTAACCTCTTTAGGCAGCCTGATATTAGAAGATGAAGAAACCATGTATTTCTAATTCAGTTCTGGATTCGGTCTCCCATGTCTTGTATGTCCTTCAGCAAGTTATTTTTCTTAGTTCTTTATCAAAAACTGTACATAAAAATTAATCAACTCCAAATATGCCATCAGGGTTGATGTATGAAATAATAAGATAATATATGTCAAGTAGAATTAGCTCCTAGGCATAGGGAAAGTGCGGAATATTATTATGTTATCATTTACAGTAGTTGATAAGGTTTGTGGGTGTAATTGGTAGTTTGTATTCTATCCTTCCAAATCGTTAATAAAACAATGCAAATCTAGTTCTGTCAGATTCCTGTGGTTACTAAATACTTGTTTTTCGAAACTCCTGACATTTGATGATTCAATTCAGGAAGACTATGGACTATTAGAATAATAGTAATAATAGTAATAGTAATAGTAATAATAGATAATTCCAAAGTTTATTTAATCTAGTAGTTTTTACTTTCACCCAAAGGGTAACGCAGAATAAATTAAGGGAAGGATCTACTTGGGTTTCCCTTTCTGTCACATATGTGGACTCCTAGGGATCCAGTAAATAATTCGAAAATTGCCATACTAGATTGATCTCAAAAGCCCATTCAAGCTCTAAAATTCAAGTAGACAGTCCTAAATTTCCCCCTTACAATATATGGATTAAGTTTTATTTGCTTGTTTTGTTTTTTCACAGTAAAGAGGAAATCAGCCTTGATTACCCCATTATATGTTTACTGTTCCTAACCAAGTCCCAATATTTTCATAGAGCCCACTTAGGTTTACACTGATCTTTCTTTAATGCTTCATGCATGCAATTGTGTTACGCTACCAACAACCTTATTTGAGGGCAGGGACTATGTCTAACATTTTATTTACATGCTTTTACAGTCTAGTACAAAGCAAGTCATGGAAATATTGAAATGAATATTAGAGTCTTAAAATATCAGAAAAGAAATAGAAATAACGTTTGTGGACCACTGTGCCAGGAGAACATGAGTTCTTGTTTAATCTTTCTAGTAAACAAGACTTCGAGATAGATAATCATACCCCCGTTTTACAGAAGAGAAGCTTGAGGCCCAGAGAAGTCTAGTAACTTGATCTTTAGACTCTAATTTGCCTGTGTCTTAAAAACCTAACTTTTTTCCCTATACCACATTGCCTTTATAATAAAATTTCTCATCAGTAGCATGATTGCCTATGCTTCAAAGAAAAAGTACTTTTAATGAAATTTCACTACACCAGTATATAAAGAAAGTTACTTATGGTCTCTGCGTTCAAGTAGCTTTTAATAACTAAATCGATTCATAAATTATTATCTAAGTGTAGGTAAATAAGATAGTATTCTGTTCTTTTGTGTATGCCCCAGAGCCTGCCAGAGACTAAAATATAGTAGGTGCTCAATAAACTGACCTCACTGAATGAATGAACCCTGAATTGTTTGAACCAACACAGGTATGAAAAACAGAGTACTGGTTTCCCCAAAGATGTCCACGTCCTAATCCCTGGGACCTGTGAATATGTTGTGTTACATAACAAGAGAGAAATAAGGATGCAGATGGAATTAAGGTTGCTAATCACCTGATTTGAAATAAGGAAATTATTCTATATTGTCCAGCTAGGCCTATTATAATTATAAGAGTCCTTAAAAGATAGAAGAGAGACACAGAAGAGTCAGTGCCAGAGTAATGCAATGCAAGAAAAACTCCAACCAGCCATTGCAGATTTTGAAGATGAAAGGGAGCCGTGAGGCAAGCAGCCTCTAGAAGCCAGGAAAGACAAGAAAAGAGACTCCAAGAGCCTCCATAAAGAAATGCAACCCTGCTGACACTTTGATTTCAGATTTCTGAACTATAGAACTATGAGATTATAAATTTTTGTTGTTTTATACCACGAAGTTTGTGATAATTTGTTATAGCAGCAATAGGAAACTAATACCTAAGAGGAGCCAAATCATGGCTAATCTCCAAAGTAGTCTGCCTTGGATTGTGGTTTTGTGCTTTAATTTAAATGAGGGCATGGTTTAACTCAATATCGTCCTCAAGCAAAGTGATAAACACTGAATAAAGCTGCCTAAGATGTCCAGTATTTCCTTACTGCTCTGCTTTTCCTGACATCAGTCCTTAAGCTGTAAATAGACAGATAGACTTTTACATTGCTATATTGCAGTTTACCTGAGCTGCCCTCAGAATTTCCCCACTAGAATAGAAGTAATTAAACACTTATTTCATGATGCTTCCTTGTTGGGCAGTTGTCTAAATGCAATATAAAGAGGGAGAGCTCTTTAGTATAAACCTTTTTTCCCACACACCAGTCATCCTTTACTGGGCATCAATGCTCAAGTAGAATATGAAAGGGGCCAGGCTCACAGCTATAATCCTAGCACTTTGGGAGGCCAAGGCAGGAGGATTGCTTGAGGTTAGAAGTTCAAGACCAGCCTGAGCAACATAATGAAACACCCTCTGTACAAAAAAATAGAAAAATTAGCAGGATGTGGTGGCACTCACCTATAGTCCCAGCTACTCGGGAAGCCGAAGCAGGAAGATTGCTTGAGCCTAGGAGTGTGAGGTTGCAGTGAGCTATGATGAGCCACTGCCCTCATACCTGGGCAACAAAGTGAGACCCTGTCTCAAAAAAAAAAAAAAAAAAAAGAAAGACTATGAAAGGATTCAGCAATGATCAAACGTCCTCATGAAGGAGTTCCAGGTCAAGGAGGTCACAGTCTGGAATGTAGAGTGACCCTCCACACTGGCCCTGCTTCCATTGGCACTCCTGTAGCTGCTCATGTTTGAATTTCTTATAAGAAAGGCAATAGCTGGCTGGACCCGGTGGCTCATGCCTGTAATCCCAGCACTTTGGGAGACTGAGATGGGAAGATTGCGTGAGGCCAGGGGTTCCAGACCAGCCTGGTCAACATAGTGAGGCCCCTTCTCTACAAAAAATAAAACAATAAAAAAAATTAGCCAGGTACCTGTAGTCCTAGCTACTTGGGAGGCTGAGACAGGAGGCTTACTGAACCCAGGATTTCAAAGCTGCAGTGAGCTATGACTGGGCCACCGCACTCCAACCGGGGTGACAGAGTGAGACCCTGTCTCTTAAAAAAAAGAAAGAAAGGCAGAAGCTGCAAAGCACATGAGCTGCCAACACCAGAGAAATCCCATTGAAGCTCCCTTTCATTGATGTATTTGTAATACCTGTAGTAACCTCTTTGTAACACTGCCACAGTGCCTTTAGAGGTGAAATCCCATATTAATATCCAGTTTGGCAGCTCCCCTAGTTTGACAGCCATGAGTTTCTTCTACTTCACTGGTACTGCTGATGCCATATTGGGGTCCTGGTTTGATTTAAAATGAGGTTTCAAATGTTAAAAGAATTTTTTTAAGATAAAATTTACTAGAATATGGTCAGGATTGACAATTAGGGGTAAATGCTATATAAGCATAATCATTTGTAAATAATTTTTTATTTAATAAGGGAAGATCTTTGAGATTTTTGTTTGGCTACAGATTGAGTATTCTTTATCCAAATACTTGGGACTAGAAATGCTTTGGATTTTGGATCTTTTTCAGATTTTGGAATATTTGCATTATGTTTACTGGTTGAACATCCCAAATTTTAAAATCTGAAATGTTCCAATGAGTATTTCCTTTGAGTGTTACATCTGCACTCAAAAGTTTTGGATTTTGGAGCACTTCAGATTTGGGATGCCTGTACCAAGACGTTAAACTCATGTTTTAGGTGACTGCCTTTTAGCAAAATAGAAATACACACTCCAGACTCCCTGAATTCAAAGCCCAGCTCTTCTACTTGGTAACTATGTAAACTTGGATAGAGACTTAGTAGTAGTAATAAATTAGTATTTACAAGTTATTTAATCTCTATAATAATCCTATATTCAGATACCATCATTATCTCCGTTTTACAAATGAGGAAACGGACACACAAAGTTTAAGTAATTTGCTCAAGGTCACACAGCTATAAAGTGGAAGAGAGATTTCAAATCCCAGCAGTTAGATTCTAGAGCCCATGCTTTTAACCATTCTGCTATAATTGCCTCTCTGTTTCCTTGTCTATAAATGGGAGCTAATAGTATAGTAACGTGTCACCTGATAGGGATTCGTTCTGAGAAATGCATCCTTAGGCGATTTTGTACTTATGCGAATATGATACAGTGTACTTACGCAAAGGTAGATGGTATAGCCTACTGCACACCTAGGCTATATGGTATAGCCTATTATTCCCAGGCTATAAATCTGTACAGCATGTTACTTGTGCTAATACTGTAGGCAGTGGTAGCACAATGGTATTTGTGTATCTAAACATGGAAAAGGCAGGATAAAAATTCAGTATTGTAATCTTATGGTCCATAAGATTATGTAGCACACGACTGTACCTACTTTATAGTATTATTTTGAAGACAGAATGAGTTAATTCACATAAAGCACTTGGAACAGTGACTGGCACATAAAAAGTGTTCAGTAAATGTTAGCTTTTGCTGTCTTACTTACTTGAGTTTTTTGGAACCCTAGGTTTTTTCCAATGTGCTTTAAGAGGCAGAGGAAAGGGGAACTCAAAGCAGACGTTCCCTCCTCCTGCCTTTACTAAGCACAACCTTTTTATCTGTTTTATATGTTGGTATCATAAATTGCTCTTAGCTTGCTAAAAGTTTTATTATTTAAAAAAAAATGAGGGGGAGTGGGGAGGCA